CAGAATTCAGAATTTCAATTGATTGAAGAGAAAGATTCAGAGATATACATATACAAAGTAATTATTCACAGAAGTATCAGATCAGAGTTATGAAATCAGAGTACTAATATATAATTGTTTTCACATGATTTTCTTCAAATTAGAAAAGTTAGTATTATTAAAAATTATTATCTGATAGAGTAATTTATCAGCTTAGTAGTAATTTTCTGATTATTTTTCTTTTATCATCTGCATTCTGATGACTTCAGATGTCAGAAAATTTCTTCAGAACTATAATCAGTTTATAATGAATGTTTCTGAATGAAGTTGCAGTGATTATAGCAGAGAGATAACTCTTTAGTAATCTGTAATACAATCTATTAATAATTATTTCATAGTTCATCTCAGTGTTTGTGTTGAGTTTTTCATAAATTTCATGACCTGAAATCAGATATGAAGAATGAAGTAATTATTTATTATGATTGAAAGAGAGCATTGTGTGTTGAATTGTAAATAACATAGACTTTGTAATTCACAGTAATTTCTTGAAGAGTTTATGAATCTTCAATAGAAGTGAAAGAAGTGAAAGAAGTGAATTCAGAAGATATAATAATAATTTGAGAAAGATAATAATTTATTTTCAATAACTGATCACTGATGTGTGTAAGAAGAATTAATATAAGAGAAAATAATCTTGTTTCTTAACTTAGTTATAATTTTAGTACTAACTCAGATTGAATATTATTGATGTATAAAAGTAAATAAATAATCTTAATTAATCTCTATCATATTTCTTGAAATATATTAATATTATAAAAGAAAGTGTTATTAAATTACATTTATCAGATAATATTATTAAAAATATATTAATATTATGAATATCAATATTGAAAAAATGTTGATACTTATACATTATAGTGATTTGTGAATCATGATAGTTAAATATATATATATATATATATCATTTCTGACTTGATTACAACTTGTACAATAATTTTTGAAAACTTAAAATCAATTTTAATTATTAATAATTAAAAACTTAAACTTATAACTAACTAATATAAAAAGAAAAAAATCTACTTCTTCTCTTTCTCATTCTTCTTATTATTTTTCATAATTCACTTCTCATTCTTCTTCTTCTTCTTCTCCTTCTCATCTGAGATGATAATCATCTTAAAATCTCTCTTTACTGCCTTCTCAGATAGACTGGCCGCCGGGACCATGAATTTCACATTTGGTTCCATTTGATCTGATCTCATACATTTCTTGGCGTGAGTCCCACCAGGATCAAGCCTCAAAAAAATCTGAAAATGGACCATTTCTGAGAGAAATGGCGTGTAAATGACCAGAGTTAATTCAAGAACAGTGAAATGAGAGTAATTTTCCAGAATAAACTGTGAAAGATGATTATTCTTTCAAAATCAGAATGAAACTGAGACTGAAGATCAAAATCAGTCTCATTCAGTTCATTCAGTGATTACTTATATAATCAGAATTTAATAATAATTATTGATAACACTCATGAAATAACTAAATACATTCTTATGCAAGTTTATTCTTCACTTTCTTATGAAAACTACACTTCTCTGATATACTGTGATCAGAGGTATTAAACTGTCTGATAATTCCATGTTTTACAATCATGAGTTTCTTGATTATTTCTCCTTGTAATTGTCTCTGATGATAGTGATAAATATCTTGACTTGAGTTGAACTTTTACTCTGTTCTCATCTCTGTTAATGAAATTATCAGAATATCACATATCATCAGTGCAACAGTTGAATATGTACTCTCAACAATTTTTCATAACTCTAGAATTGATTTAACATGTAAATTCATCAGATTATCTTGAAGATAGCAGTTAAATTCAGTTTTATAAGCATATAGTTTTGCCTGATTTTCAGTTGCAATCAATGTATGCAAGTTCTGTTTCAAAGTTAGTATTATAGTTCTATATAATATGAAGTGTTATCAAAGATTATTACTTACTAGAGAATTGTATTTCACTGTCTTTATATCTTGAACATCTGCTTGTTCAAATCTCTGATAGTTAATATTGTAGTAGTCTCAGACTAATTTGACATATAAGTCTTGTTCCTTCTCTGTTCAATCTTGAGAAGTGTAGATATTAACTTGATAAGAGAGATCTAGTAGAGCTGCTACAGCATAGTACTCTGTAAAAGATTGTTTCATTTTACTGTAGTAATATGCTAGTTTATTTCTTACAGTAATAATAGTCTGCACTATAGCATCATTTCAGACTGAATTTCTTTTTAAGTGATTCAACTGCTTCTCAAGATAAGTAAATAAACTGTTATACACTCATCAGACTGACTGCAGTATTGATGTATGAGTGATTGAGACTGTCTTTATTATCTTATAAAACTGAAACAGTAAATCAATCACATATTTCAACTGAGTTCACTTCATATCAGAAAGTTTCAATATCTGAATCTTTTTTCAATCAGAGTGTTGCACTTAATGATCAGTTGTCTGATGCAATTGAAGAGTCTGAACAGTCA